TTAGTTTGCAGTGTAAGATTACAGTTAACACCTTTAAATATTACATAAATGTATTATGAATTTTTAATACACTTAATGAGTGTACATCAGCAGCAAAAAGTAATTCTTGAAAAAATCTGCACAGTAATTTTATAAAATCTAAATATGTTAATAAAAAAAAATTACTATTAGTTCTCTTTTAAAATTCAATCAGGCAATCATGTCACAATTTTATATTTATAGCCTATATTAATGTCAAGAATTCAGAAGTGCATAGCCTAAACTACAAATAAATTATATACAATTAAATTATGCTTATTTAAAATGTATTGAGCAGGCTAGGTATAACAAAATATATTGGCTTTTAATAATATTTCAGTGCGCAAATGATTACATGAAAAACAGCGAGCACACAGCATGTATGCGCATCGCGGGTGCAGAATGATGTGCTCAAAGCAACATGGAGTCACAGTGTGCAGCAGCACTGCGCTTCATAAGTGCGCATTTAAAAGCTCATGTCACAAATCATCGAAGAAATGTTGAGCGCACAAAATAATCCTAGTGCGATTTGTTCCTTTGTTTCACAGTTATTATGCGTTTGATGCCGATTCATAATCCTTGTGATATGTATGTGTGATCTAACAGAACACGGTAGTGAGTCGTTTAAAAACAGCAACAAACTCCAAGAAAATAAAGTAATTTTATGCGAATATACAGACTTTTATCTACAGATCATGCATTTATAATGTCAATATATCATATTGGAGAGAGTTTTACCGTGCATCCAAGAGGCGCGCGTGCTGTTTGAATATGAATGGAGAATGATTGACAGCCGCAGAGGAGGGAAAACGAGTTTATACTTTAATGATGTAAATATACTTCTGTCCCTCACAATAAGCTATGGAATGACTTCAGATGACTTTGTCACCCAAACTGACGTGAAAAAAGCGGGAGGCGCCGAAAAGCGCGCTGTTTGCATCCCTGCCTGTCCAAACGTGGCAAAAACACACCTAAAAAGCTGCTGTAACAGTATACCATTTGGCACTTAAAAAGCACGTCACGACACATAATTCCCCGTCTTCTTTTACTTAAGAATATTTTTGACTTATTTATAAAATGCATAACTGATGCTACAAAAATTAATACTGGCCATTGGGGTGGCCAATGGGGTGGCCAGGAGTCGGCCAGGGGTGGCCATGGCCACCCCTGGCCACCCCCTGGTGGCGCCATTGATTGGAGAGCGTTTTACCGTGCATCCAAGAGGCGCGCGTGCTGTTTGAATATGAATGGAGAATGATTGACAGCCGCAGAGGAGGGAAAACGAGTTTCCGTATACTTTAATGATGTAAATATACTAATGTCCCTCACATTAAGCTATGGAATGACTTCAGATGACTTTGTCACCCAAACTGACGTGAAAAAGCGGGAGGCGCCGAAAAGCGCGCTGTTTGCATTCCTGCCTGTCCAAACGTGGCAAAAACACATCAAAAAGCTGCTGTAACAGTGTACCATTTGGCACTTAAAAAGCACGCCATGACACATAATTCCCCGTCTTCTTTTACTTAAGAATATTTTTGACTTATTTATAAAATGCATAACTGATGCTACAAAAATTAATACTGGCCATTGGGGTGGCCAATGGGGTGGCCAGGAGTCGGCCAGGGGTGGCCATGGCCACCCCTGGCCACCCCCTGGTGGCGCCATTGAGATTTTTAAAAAATGTGTGTACATTATAACACTATACTTTGTAATATGATCTTAGCATCAAATTACAACAAATATTTTACAAGTGAAAAAGTGTTTCTAGTACAGCGGCTGTGGAAGTGACCAATGCTATGTCATGACCAATTCTTATAAGTGTCACGGTCTGGTGCGGGCAGATGAATAGGAGGACTCCAGAGTAACCAAAAGATAGCTTTAATAGAATAAACGGGCAGGAAGACAGGAACAAGGGTGCAACACAGCTCACATATAGACAACGACTGACAAAGACTGAATGAAACTGAGGGAACTAAATACACAGATGAATGAACCATAATGGAGTGAAAACAGGTGAAACAGATGATCAAAACGAGGAACAGGTGGCTGATGAGGGAGTGAGTTCAGGAGAGGAGACAAAAGGATCCTGGGCCGTGTAGTGCTGATGACAAGACAGACTGGTGCAGACGGAAGACTGTGACAATAAGTGAGTAAAAGGTGGCTATTAAATGCGTACGATTTGTCTAGGAGTGTCTTTAATTTGTCTTTATTTTTGATTTATTTACGATTTTCTAGGGTTTAGGAGCGGGGTCAGGTGTAGGTCATTCAAACAAATATGTACGAAATTCTATGAGATCTGGTTGGAGGGGCTGTAAAATTGAAGTCTTTCTCTCTTTCGACTGCCATTATCAATCTCACTCTATTTTTTCCCTCTTTTTGAAAGTTGTGAAAACACTATTGGGGATTTTTTCTTTTGCTATTTGAGCAAATAGGAACACAAAAAATATATTTAATGTAGTCTCTCATTCACCACTACATATTTGAACCCAACAATGACGACTTCCGCTTCTGACAACCCCGGAAATGTGAAAATGATCTATTCAAATATGACATATTTAATTGTTTATTAATTAAATAATTTTTAATTCACACTTTTTTTAAATTTCACTAGTGGTCTAAACCCCACTGTATCAGTGAATACAATTTTAATACATTACCCATGCACAAAGTTAGTGGTCCCATCCACAGGGTCAATAATCCATGTTGGGTTTTCAGTCAAAACACAAGGTTCTCCTGCAGCCACTGACTCTTCACCAATGAAACTGAAACAAACAGGAGCAGACTATGGTATATTCTCTTTACTTTAGATTAAATATGCTCTATCTTGGAAACTGTGTAAGCATGACTGACGCAATACCTGTGTCCAGGAAACTTCTCCTTCACTGACGTAATGATGAGCTGCTCCACATTCTGATCTGTTTTAGTGACCAGGTCAACAGAAGAGCTTTTACACATGATCTTTAGGTCATTCTGCAAAGCATTCCTCACAATCTGAGGACAACAGAGATAAGGTTTCAGTACAAGAAAATTACAACAACGACAAAATTGCATCGTTAAAGGAACGATGCTATCTCACCTCTCCTGATTTCCTGGCCACAGTCACGGCATGGTCCATAGCATCCTGCCAAAGGTCAGGCATTGTGAGAGCCCCTTTCTGATTGGACATAAAAACATATTTATTCTCATCAATATCAAATGTATATTATTATGTAAAGTGTCTCTAAATCGATTCAGGAGTCACATTAGATAAAAGCTGCATTTTAAACATCATTTTATTTGACGAGGCAGCTTATTACTGATAAATTCCATATTTTTCCCACTTTTCTGGCAGTCCCTTAATCCCAGCACACACTCCTTATATAGTGTTCTTTCTATAAATAGAACTCCAACTGGGTCAAGGACTTTCTTTAAAAAAAAAACCCTACCAAAGCAAAAACATTCTACACTCTTAAGGCCAATTCACACAGCACAGACAAACACGTTTGTTGGGTCCCCTGTCGGCATCTGCTGCCATTGGTCGGGGTTTGTTTTCACCCGACAGAACATGTTCAATCAGCGTTATTCAGTGTCTGTTAGGGCAGTGTGAACATGACAGTTATTTTTAATAACATTCTAAATACATCAGCCAACTTGTTGGTGTTTGTCTGTGCAGTGTGAATTTGCCTTTAGAACAAAAGATTCAATATAGAACCTTAAAGGGTTCTGTCAGGCACAATATATGGGATCATTTTATGGATCTAGTTTTAATGAATTCATTTTATTCAAAATTTATTGGGAATAAATTGCATTAATTAAACAGTGCATAATCATATGTCATTACTAGAAGAAAATTAGATAACCCATTAAATGTGAAAGTTAATTTGAGAACCTTTAAAAAAATGCTGTTTTTACCTGCTGTAAAACCTAAATCAATTATAATATGTCTTTCATTTAAGCTCCATTTTGACAGTGGTCGTGTCTAGTAAAAAGTGTCAAAGTGTGTAGTTTCTACCACATTTTGCACAATAAATACTGAAATTATGTGCACTTATTTCACTCTCTGTTTAGATTATCACAATTTTGAAATGAAATGGGATCATTTTTATTAGATTTATTTCTTAGTTTAAAATTCAAAGTCTAAGTCGAGGGGTAAACATAAAAAGCTTAAATCAGCTGGCAACTACTAGAAACCCAGTAATGTCTGACGGTACTTGAGCATTTTAAGCATTTTATAATCCATAAAGTGTATATCTGAGCAATGTATAAGTTACGTGTTCATCTTAAAACTGCATGACAGATGAGTTCTAGCTCATCTTTTTTGAAGATACTCTACCTTTCATCGCCATTTATCATTTATTTTAGCCAAATATAAACGTAATCATCACCAAATATCGGTGCAAACAATGCATTATGATCTACGCGTATAACGACATTCCATAAACGAACTTGACATAATAACACAATAATAACACCAAAAAAATCTTACCAATCAATGACCGGCGAAATGAAGACTGTTCTGTTGTGTTTCCGGGTTGTACTGGGAGGACCCGAGGAGATTAACACTAAATCATCCGGTTATTTTCAAATTAACTGCCTAAGCATTTAGTACAATGAAATATCGCACTTCGTTTATATAATATACTATACGTTCAATTTTCTGTTTAGCACAGTGCGTTCATCAAAAAAATAATAAAAAGTTACTGATGCGCATGCGCCGTATGTCTTTATTTTAGCATTCTCAGCAACTGCCTGACCCTTTGAACTGGGCATGTATTATTTGATATGCATCAGTATTTAAATGTGAAATGCTGTGAGGTGTTATCTCTGAATTTACGTTTTGTTCTTTGGACAACAGAAATCTCCCCATTTTTACTTTTCAAGAATAGACATTATAAAAAGCAAACAGAAACATTTTAACAGGTCTTCGTGCTTCTTTTTATTGTTGTATTTATTACATGGATCGAATTGGATTTTTGTAAACAAACAAAATAAGAATACTATGCGACTTTGTTGTCCCAACCTTTATTGCAGCACTCAAAAAAACATTTACAGTTGTTTACAGATGTGTCACCCAAAACTCCATATAATTTCAATGCCTCAATAACTTAAAATGAGTTAGCCTATACAGCAGGATTTCATGTAAACCTCTGAATAGAAAGCCTTGAGTAAACATCTGTTTGTATGTGGATTTCAATGAAAGAAATACCCCTTATACACATGGTGTTATTGCTAGTTGTGAGGTTGTGAGGTGTGTGTCCCTTAGATCACGACCATACTAAAGCTGCTATACCCAACCTTTCACATATGGCTTTGAGAAGTTAACACTTTTGTAGAATTAATTCAATTTGACTATAAAGTGTCAAATTCTAAATAAAAGAATTCCTTAAAAATCCTAAACAAGAAATCAATACCACTTTAAAAATTCACATTGACTTCAAAAGTGTTAGGGGTAGAAAAAAACACCCTCTAGTTTTATAGAAAGAAGAAAACCCTAAAAACTACATTGCAGCCAGTATATGTTATGAAATCATTGAAGAGATTTGCAGAATTTCCTAAAGTCTAGCACAAAAACAACATCTATTCTGGCAGGCCCTATAGAACCACAGTGTAACACACAACATTACAATGAAAATTAAAAAAAAAAAAAAAAAAAAAAATCCACAGTGAAACACTTCAGGAGCCAGAATTGGGTTTCCTTTTAAAAGATCAAACCGGTTTTCAGTTTCTTAACCATTTACTCTGCATCAAGAGTGAAAGCTACACTGTTGTGATAAAAACCATGACAACATTAATAGTAAATACAAACAATTTTTGTCTTTCTACAATATTAATGTGACAAAATACCAGTCATCTTCCTTTCTGAATGTAGTACAACAAAACTGTATTGTTTCTATACTGTATTCTTACATATGTGCCTGCAACAGTTGAAATAGCCAGAATAAATGCACTGAGAATTCAATCCATAGGCAGTGCATTACATTTGACAAATTAATGAGCACATACTGACTTGTGATGTCCCACAACAAGCACTAGGAAAAAAATCTTTACCCTGCTACAAAAATAAAACATTTTGTAAAGTAGGGTGCTCCATATTTATGTGGGCATCCTTCACCAGTTATTGCATAAGATGACAATCCCCTTAAACAACACGGTTTCTCATTCGCACACTGCACAGCAGCTGGAGTGTTTGCCTGAAATAGAGCTTGTCAAATCATGAGCCTATGAAGCAAGACTTACTGAAAAAGGCATGAGTATAAATAAAAAAAGTTTGATGGGGAGCAGACATATGCTTCTGAATTTAAAAATGTGAAATCTAAATATGAAGAAATGCAAAAACAAGTTCTCCACTCTCTGAGCTCTTAACAAAACAGTTACAGTATTGAGGAAAATATCAACAGAGGTACTTAAATGTTGACCATACACTGAAAAAAAACATAGGAAAACACCACGAATACATACTAGTGAGAAAAAAAAATGGCTCAAATAATTGCTTCGCAAAAAGTTAAACAAGATTTTTTTAAATTGACACAAACATGCACATGCACGCCCACTCATACAAAGTTCACATAGCAATTATCTTGGTTAACCTGCCAGCATAAACTTGTCCTTGATATGCAACATTGGAAATGCAGACTCAATACATATTGGTACAAAACCTAAGGGTAAAAAGAGCAAAAGATCAGTGCAGCTTTGCATAGTAACTTCACATTAAAGCAATTAGATTTGACGAAGAGAGACACTGATGAATGTGAAGATCTCTGAGCTACAAAGCAACATGGTGGTGTGTGTACAATGTACATACATAGGAAAACAAACTATCATCCATGATCATTAAGAAATGGCTACTTCACATCTATGTTAGAGAATGGGAAAAAAAGCTTTGACTGTAATTACAAATTAGGGATTAGAAAAGGGAGGGGTGGTCAAACCACCAAACAAATGTTGACAAAACATTCAAATAAATGTGTACTTGTACACAAGAGACTGCATTAATCAATTAACGAAAAGGCTTGTGTTAAACAAAAAAGGAAAAAGTCTAGGAAAATGAAGGGGTAATATAGCATTCTCTTTTTTTTTTACTCCATGGTGGGAATCGGCAACTGCACACTTCCAGTGGAATGCCATGTGGTGCTGGTCCTCTCCGCATCTTACATACTGCCTAATGTTTTATGTTTCTGTAAAACATGAATTGATTGGCATTTAAATACACTTAACCTGCTGATGTTTTAAGTTGAAGCAGACACTGTATTCGGCAGTTCATTTGTACATATGTGAACTAGAGAAAACACCTTTTTGATAGAGCAGATTATGAATAAATTACATAGAATTGTTAAATACATACATGGCAAAGACTGTCTTTATGAGTGAGTCAGTCAGTAGAGAATACGTTTACATTGAAAAGACTCAAACTTGTGATCACAGAGAAAGAAGCAACTGACAGATGACTATCAGCACAGGAAAATCCCTTAACTGTCAAAATATCACAGGGGACATTCAAACGGATATAGGACTGACCTGAAGGAAAATGCTAGGTCTAGTATAAATACAGGTACACTCGCTTACTCGATCTCTCACAATAGTCTACTATGCAATGAACAATATCAATGAGATCAAACGTGTTTGCCAAGTTACGAACGGTTGCTAGGGGTGTTGTGTAGTGATACATAGAACCGTTGGGTGAAGCGGTCAAAGCAGTGTTTTATTGTGAATAAAACACAGCTACTGACCAATCAGATTCAAGGATTGGAAATAACCATTTATATATGTATATACAGAGGGGATAATTAAATTCCCAGAGTTAAAGAAATTGTCCTTTGATTGATAACATTTGATTGAATTGATAACATTTCACCCATTATGAAAAGGAATCTAAATGACAAAATGGTATTACCCGTGGGCTCTTCTTCGAGTTCTTCTGTTTGGTTAATATCTTCTGTTAATAAAGATGCATGTCAATATAATTGTGCGTTAGACATTAAGCATAGAATGTATGATTCTACAAATTTCTTTACAGACTTTCCACATTAGAAAGTCTTCCAATTCTTCATAGATTTTGCATAAACATAAAATGAAATTACCAACCTGCAAAGTCTTCCTCAGCCTGCTCTTCATCAGAAGCTGCATCCTCTGTAACAAGACAGGCACATTTCACAACAAAATAAACAAACTGCTCATCTGTTGAGTGTAAAATCTAGAAATTTGTCCACTTCCTCTTTTGTCTCAGATTGTGCAGTATCTGATGTTAACAGATGTTTGCATCCACATGAATGTACTATTTTAATATACAAGACATTTTGTGTAATATTCCTTATTGCTGCATAATCACCCCCTGAATGAACACGCATAAAAAAAACAAGAAAACATACCCTCTTCTTCCATATTCTCTTCATCAAGCATGGTTTCCTCTTCTACTTCCTCATCTTCCTGACCTGCCTCATCTGTTTCCTCTATAAGCTCCTCTTCTGTTACAGTCTCTTCTACAGACTCCTCGGGTGTTTCTTCTACTTCCACTTGCTCTTCTATTTCAGGTTCCTCCACTTGTTCAGGTTCTTCCACAGCTTCTTCTGGTTCAAGCTCCTCCACAGCTTCTTCTACGGGTTCAAGCTCCTCCACAGCAGCTTCTACTGGCTCCTCCACAGCTTCTTCTACTGGCTCCTCCACAGCTTCTTTTACTGGTTTAAGCTCCTCCACAGCAGCTTCTTCTACTGGCTCAAGCTCCTCCACAGCTTCTTCTACCGGCTCAAGCTCCTCCACAGCTTCTTCTACCGGCTCCAGCTCCTCCACAGCTTCTTCTACCGGCTCAAGCTCCTCCACAGCTTCTTCTACAGGCTCAAGCCCCTCCACAACTACTTCTACTGGCTCAAGCTTCTCCTCAACTACTTCTACTGACTCAAGCTTCTCCACAGCTTCTTCTACTGGCTCAAGCTCCTCCACAGCTTCTTCTACTGGCTCAAGCTCGTCCGCAGATTCTACTGGTACAACCTCCTCAACGGGTTCTTCTACTGGTGCATGTTCTTCTACTACTTCTATTGCCTCTTCCACTGGTGCATCACCTTCCTCCAACACTTCCTCAATTGCTTCTTCCACCGGTGCAACCTCTTCAACTACCTCCTCCTCTGGTGTATCTTCTACTATTTCTATTTTCTCTTCAACTGATGAATCTTTTTCCACTGGAGCAGCTTCCTCAACTGGTATGACCTCTTCCTCATTTGCAAGCTCTTCCATTGCCTCCTCAAAAGCCTCTTCCTCAACTGGAACAGTGTCTGTATCCTCTGGCACTTCCTCCACAACTTCAGGTTCTTCCTCAGGAACTTCTGGCTCTTCTTCAACCTCTGGTTCCTCCTCATCTACTTCCTCTTCTGCAGCAATAGGCTCCTCCTCAGCAACTGGCTCCTCCTCCACAGTTTCTGGTTCTGCAAGGGAAAAATGAGGTAGCACTTTATTTTGCACCGTCTATGTTACACATGTAGTTACTGAAGTAATAACTATTAAATGATACATAATTACATAATTACATGCAACTAACTCTAAACCAAACCCTAATCCATTCTAACCCCATAGAAACCATACATGTAGTTAATTATTATTACTCCATACAAAATGTATAGTTACACTGTAACAGACACCTTAAAATAAAGTGCAACTAAAAATAATAATAAAATCGAATATACTATGCTCCTATTGTGCCAATATATTTCAATATAATTCATACATGATCCAATTCAGAGGTTATGTAAATTTATTCTAAGATATATTTTTTTTGTATATACTACATGGCATACAAACACACATAAATCACAAAAGTCAAAAAATGGCAACAATTACAGACTGTAACTTCAAAGGACATCCTAAAAGCTGTACCTGGTGGCGGCTGAGCAGCTTCCTCAATTTTAATGGCTTCGATCTCTTCCTCCACAATAGAGTCTGGAGCTAATTTGAAGAAGAAAATTTTTTTTTTATTATTATTTATTGTTAAAAGCCTTTGTTTTTCTGTCATAAAGGTGCTTGGGTATTCAAGCGATAATGCTTTAATATTTAAACTAGATCAATCATGCATGTCTGCTATTCATAACAGGTTAATGTGATTCATGTCATGTTACACAAGAGCTTTTTGTGGTATGTGGCAAGACTAGTTTCTAACTGGCGGGCATTTCAGATACAAGTGTTCATATAGGTGACCATCAAAATAATTTAAAATATAGTAACACAAGTGGTGCATATGCATAATAGGTCACAGTCCTTGTGTACAGTGATAATGTTTAATCCATAAGCAGGATAAAGTTAATTCCCCTGCAGTCAAGCAAGTGTTGTCATACATTTAATTATAAATAAATGTACACACACACAAAGAATAATTTCATGGCCAGGCATTACATTTCATCATGTAATAACTTGCACATTTTCATTTACTTTCCAAATTTAAATATCACAATGTCTATTAGGGTTATAAAACCCTACATCTTATTTCTAAGATATTTCTATGATCTATGCATCAATAAATTCTCGCTGCATCCATATTTACTGCTTAAAACTCGTGTGATTCTACTTTACCTTCTTCCACAGGTTCAGCGGAGGTTGCCTTAATCGGTTCACTGTTCTCAATGGTGGGCTTATCTTTCAGTCCTGAGGATTTTACATGTGGATGTGCATACATGAGGCAAGTGTAAAATATACATCACATAAAACAAGCATTTGCCTAATCTATGAATTGCATTGAATAACCTTTACATGCCATTTGGTTTACTTTTGCACTAGAGATTTTAGTTTTACAAGTATAGATTTAACTTTTACAGACACAAAGGTATGTGTTTGAGATTTAAAAAACAGACAAATAGGGAAAACAGAGGAGAGGAAAAAGGAATTATATAGAAATTTATTGTATAGGAATTTATAGAAAAGTTTACACACTGTAAAAAAATATTGTTGGTTTAACTCAAAATTTTAAGGCAACCAGGTTACTTATTTTTTTAAGTTTATTGAACTGGAAAAAGTAAATTAATACAATGAAGGAGATTGATTTAATCATCAGAAACTCAAAATAATAAGTTATCTGAACTAAATAAATTATTTAAGTTGATTTGACAAAAGAAAAAAATGTTGTGATAACAAGTCTTGAAAATATTTTTTTACAGTGTAGATATTATTAAGGGACAGACGAGCATTCTTGTAGAAAAAAAGGGTCCATTTCAATACTGTGCAAATGTTTGTTCTTCTTATATCAATCAACACTAAAAAGAAAACACTCAAAAGCACCGAAAAATCAAATCAGGATACTCATATTTTATTGATAACACAATCATTTTCTCTCTTAGTTAAGTAATGCAACTTATTTTTTTTTTTATAAATGAACAAAATCAGAAACAAACACCAATTGTGAAATCTCACACTAGCTAAAATTTTGTAAGAATAAACCAAAAATCCTCAAACAAAATAAACATTAAGGGAAATAAAAGAAATTCCACCTGCCAATCAGTATATAGCACCTTGTTCTGATTCTGCTTCTACTATCAATGTTATGATTAACATCACTGATCATAGAGACAAAAGGTCTTGCCTTCAGCCTATAAGGGTGGTCTCTGAAAACTGCTCATAATGGACTGAGATCAAGTTCAGACAGATGTTAACACAAAGAACACAAAAGACAAAATGTTCTTACATTTAATGCCTTAAAGTTTCTTTTTAGCTGCAGCCTTCTTGGATTCTTTGCCTTTTGCATCTTTCTCAACCTTTTTAACGTCATAATCAACAGGTTTCTCATGGGTTTTCTTTTCAACGTCGGGCTTTTCTTTCACCTCATCCTTTTCCACCTTAGTCTTCTTTGCTACTTCACTTTCTGCCAGTTTCTCTCTTTCCTCCTTCTCCTTTCTAATTCTTTCCTCCTTCTCCTTTCTAATTCTTTCCATGGCCTTTTCAACATCCTCTTTCTCTATTCTCTCCCCTTCCTCTTTCAGTCGAGCCTCAGCCCTCTCCCAAGCTTTGGCTTCGGATTCCTCTCTGATGTGGTTCAAGGTCCTCTCTTGCTCCTCTTTGACTAGGATGTTCCTCACTTCTGCCAGTGCCAATTTAGCTATTTTCCTTGCTTCCACTCTTTCATGGATGATGGCGAGTTGCTGTTTCAGAGCTTCCCTTAGCTTCAAACCAACATCTTTGGCATGGGAAAGCTCTAGGGAGAAACTTTGATGACGTGATCATGGTACTGTAACTGAATTTCTAACACTACACACACCTCAACCCAAAATGCGATTAGTTGGAAAGATGCAAATAATTTCAAATCATATCTCCCTTATTAGTGTGTTAGAATATCCTCTACACTCAACCGATTTAATTAAATAATTGTTCAACAAAAATATCCAAAGGACCGCCATTTGGGACAAAGTATTTCTGCTGTAATTGATATTTTAAATGATTTATTTTGATTGCAATAGTTTTAAGAACTGTTATATAATTTTAAATGTATATGTATATATATATAAATAAAACAAACCTAATTTACATAATTTAAGTCTTCCAGTGGCCCCCTTGGAAGTTTGCTTCCCAGCTGAGAACCACTGCTATACACATTACGCTAGAAGACGATGTAGTTAGGATACGTTTATGACAAGTCCACAGTTCCCTAATATTGCAAATAGCCTGGAAAAATCTCATTCTTCATGCAGGCTCATAAACGTCAACAACAAGAGGTCTTATTGTTAAACACGCCTTGGTTAAACAGAAAAATAATACATAGCTCAAAAAACTTGATGTCAGCTCAGTCATGCAAACAGAAACGAGTCGATCAAGTAAACTGAGAAAATCCCAAACCACACAAGAGATATGTCTGCTGCATGCACTCAGACCAAATGTGCAAAAATACCTCCTTTTCTCCTGGAAACATCTTTAGAGTTTTCATCTAGTGCAAATGAGAATTGCAAGTTTAAGTCAGTGACTACAACTACTTCTCATACATTTTTGTTATACAACTTATGTAATGGTTGGTGATGCATACTTTTAAGTATTGCTGAGAGAAAAGAAAATCTTTGTAAATAGTATACTTATGCTATTGAGACAAACACCTTACAATGTGCGTCACCCAAATTAAATCTGCAAGTAATGGCTATTTGTACAACATTTGAGAATACGCAATCTTATCAACACAAATAAAAAGCCAAACAACAAAGGAAAAACAATTAAACCAAAGGATCTGAATTGCTGATTTCACACTAAAATTGTACTTGAAATGTTTGAAGGTGTAATTACTTAAGTGGGAACGAAGGAAATAGTATGCCTCAATTTAAACCTGATTCTACACGCTTAATTCTCTTAGAATACACAAACACACAGCCATTTTGTAAATAAATCCTGATACGTACGCAGTAATTATACTTTCTGCACGAGTACTATTTAAGTTATTGAAACTCATAGCCCTATCCATTCCCACATAGTAATACAGAAGCCGTACATGAACAGTATTACTTATCAGGCACATTATTTCAGGTGCTTTAGATTGGCAGGTAGGAACTGATTGTTGACGGTTACAGTACTCTGGGGTTCAGGTGACATCTCCTACACAAGGACTCTGAACTAGTTCTTGTCTAGAGCAACTAATGAAATTAATGTGCAATCTCTTTGTTAGATAAGTAATAAGTCTGTATAGACCAGTGGTTCCCAAACTAGGATGCCTCTCAGTTTTAAAAGGGGGGTGTGGCAAGGCTAAGGGATAATGTATAGTCAGAAAATTGTTATGCAAAAGAAATCTCTTAAGGTTGAAGAAATCATTTTCTTATGAAACTACTTGCTATACAAGGCTACTAGTGAGTCTCCGAGAGGAGTCTGCCCGAAAATGTGTTTCGAGATCGCCAAAATACTACAAGAAGCTTGTTAAACAAAATACAATCTCCTCAGTCCTCTGAAGATCCAGGGAAAAAAAGAAGGAAAAAAAAAAGAATGTTGGTGCTTCAGTGACTACTTTGCTCAGAGAACCCGCCAATCACAGCTGTCAATCATGACAATACACCACCGTTTTTATAGCATCACATAACTACATCAGCTTGATAAAAACGACAGAAACCACCACTGGAAAAAAGATATTTGAAGTGTAATTTAATTGTTTAGTCTAGGGATCTAGACGCTCTGGCTTCACTTTCAGGGTTTGTGTATCACGCTAGTTTTCAAACATCAACTTTCAAAACACCACATCTACTCCAGACGAGATCGTCACAACGTGACAAAAATCAATTAGAACCTATTATAATCAGACTGGTTGCGGCACGACGTGACAAATTTCCCAACTATAAACTGATGCTCGTTCCATTCATGATGTACTCCAAACACTTGTGCAACTTCAGACACAACGGACAACTGGATTTGTAACGTTCGATTTGTGGTGTAGTCCAGTGTAAACAGCCTCAAGACAAGAAAGTATGACGAGGCATAGTCGTCCTGGATTTACCAATACAAGGACGGGTAATGAAGAGAGCTGAACAAGTTAAGACACCACTTGTAGACTTCACATGAACAAAGAGAAGCCCGTTGAAGTTGAGAAGCCTGAGAGTGCCTTTATTTAGGTGTATAGTGTGTGGATGGGGCATGAAAATGTTTTTTACAAAAGGGGGGCCGGCAGAAAAAGGTTGGGAAACACTGGTGTAGTCAATAGTACAAGTTTCTTGTCTGAATTTAATTATTACTGCATTTAATTATTACTGGTATTACTGCAAGAGGGGTGTGTGTGTGTGTGAATAGACTTTATTTATATTCACGCCAATCAATATTCTCTACAGCTTTGATAAAGGAGAGCAAAGGCAACTCGCATAAGAATAAAGAAAAAACAATGCATCAACTTGACAATGTTATGTAAAATTTTGAAGTGCCAAAAAGGTTAAAGGAAATACAAAACAAAATGATGAGTTGCTGAGGATGCAAATCATCCCAAAATGCAATTGTGTAATTTAAAACGGCTCGAAATAAACCATTCACTGCCAACAAAGAAAAATGATAATCAATTGTGAAACAAGAACGTCAAAATGTACAGTGTTAAATTGCAGATAGAAATACATACTATTGTTCATCATGTTATAAGGGAACTGAGGCATGCAGCAAAGGTGATATGTTCATCTTTCAGCAATAAGGTCATATGCAAAAGGTAAGTAGTATATTAGTAGTTAAAAATATCAGTTGCAAAAGAGCTGCAACAAAGCATAAACTACACAAGTTCAATATTTACAAAGGTGTAAATGTTCATAATGACATCATCTTCTCAAGAGTTCACAGGTTCCAAAGTGACTGTTGGCAATCTTCCCAACAAAATGCTTCTTCAAGTGTTAGGAACAGAAACAAGTCGTCAAGGGAGTAAGTCCTCATCTAATAAAGTGCTTCTGTCACAATCGCGGTAGAAACTATTGGTTTTGAAGGCCTAAAATAACGCATGTCTTTTGGCCCTGAACCCCTTCAGTCTGTGACGCGCCAGCAACATCTTCCGCTGCTGCCTCGGTTTCTTCATCCTCTAGCGTTTCAAAAGGACTCATAACGTCATAAAGGAAGGTGAAGAAACCTTGAAACCAATCAGTGCCCTCTTCTGCTAAAATATCGAGGACTTCCTCAAGTGAGTCTGAGTTTTCTTTGCTGCCATCTTTGGTCAGCCCTACGCAAATGGGAAAATAAGGAAAAAAAGACAGAGAGGGAAAGAAAGAACAGTGGGAGAGCAAGAAAACAGAGAGAGGGTGGAGGTGGTTTGGTTTGCAAGGTTTAGTAGATAAGGATTCAGTGCTATAAAAAAGTAGGTAAAGGTGCTATTAAAAGCATATGAGGTAAAGGAGAAACGGAACATGCATCCATGGGAAGTACCAATGAGGCGTTTTTTAATGAATTAAGGGCTCAGTTACTTGTGCAATCAGTTAAACTACCTACAAAATTAGAAAATAATTCTTCATTTTCTCACCTTATGATATGATGTAGCCGTTAAAACATAATATTGGCAAGCTGGTCTAATTCTCAAACTCATGCAATAAGGCAATAACCTCATCATCATGTGGTTTGAAAAAAATAAATATGATTACAAAAGCATGAAAAAGTAACATGCGCATGAATTAGTCCCATTTAATTTGTCACTGCACAAAAGTGAACCAAAGTCAGTCATGCAAAACAATCTGGTAAGAATCTCACTGAAATCAGTGCACTTGCCTAGTAGTACTTTAGCGTCTTCCACATCAAAGTCCCCATCACCATCAGCATCATAGGACACAAGTTTACCTAGTAAAAGTAAAGTGAATCTGTTTTAATCATGCCATATTTAGAACATATCTCATATATATAAGGAGATTTCTTAGTTTAAAGTCTCCCAAAAGAGATATGTTCCACATACTCTACACAAATAATTGTGTAGAAATGGAAACCGCTTTATTACAAATTTCCTTGGGAAGTCATTCCATTAACATTAGCATTTATTACATCATATTTTCAAAAAGTTAAAACATACATAGTTCAAAACCCCCCAAAAGTTAACAATATTACATGTTCAAAAGACATACATTTATTTTATGTATTCATGCAAGTATGAAAAATGACACTAAAAATTAAATGACCCTTTCACTCCCCTACATTGAAATCGATAGCTTATGTCGAAGAAATTAGGTTTATGGTGGTGATTATCACTGGTTCAGATGTCATACCTTGTAATACCTCTGAAAGATTATAGCGAAAGTCCTGTGCTTTGGCTGCATGCAAATTAAGGCCAGATACAAAAAAACATTAATGTAATAAGAGTATTTTTAATACTACAATCAAGATGTACACAAAGCCTGAAAAAAAAAAGAGAAACCAAAGACTCACCAATTACACCTTGATAGTCAACCAGGTCGAAATACACCACAGCTACAGAGGTCCAGACACCTAGGAGGGCCAAAACCATGAACCAGGTGAAGAACGAGGTTCCTCCTCCAACCTCTGCCTTCTTCCCATTCTTATGCGCCAGCTGCGGCTTGGCCTCTGAAGGACAGAAAAAAGCAGATTGTACACAATGGCAAGATGAAATGAATAAAAAGAAAAGTACCAACTGATTCAGTGCAGCACAGCAAAACCCTCTACACGTATGAATGAGGAATACCATGCCTTTAAAAGCAAGATTAGTCCTTTAGTATTACTGCAAGGATAAGCATTTTCACTCAAGGCCACTAGTGGATACAATATGCAATAACATTTGCTTTGAAGCTGAAAATCTATTGTAGACCAATCGATTATTTCTATATATAAAAACATGTATGAGATTCAAGGGATGTTCGATTCAGTTGAAAAATTCCCTAAAAGATGTTTAAATATTCCATTTGAAATCTATAGTAATCTCAAGGTGACAAAAGTCTAAAAGAGTGCAGTTATTCTGAGGTCTGTTGACACTTCTCATGGAACCGTGGTATAAATACATCTGCATTCAGAGCTCTAGTGGGAAGAATGAACAGGTGTTTTGTCCGCTACGTTCTGCTAGGTCAAACCACACGTGTGTTCATGCACACTACAAACATTAGTAACAGACTTACAGAGAGAAATAACAATACTAAAGGGTTGCAACAAAGAATTTCTTTTTCTACATGTTGTAGAGGTATCGTATACGAACTTCACAAGAAAAGTTTTCAAATATTAAGGCTTCCTTTCACACCCCTGCGATTCATTAAATGTCATCTCTTGACATAAAAGCTTATTCCAAAAACATACAAATACTAATACCGGTTTCTTCGTTCACCACCTTGACCTCTGCATTCGGCTCCCCCATCCCTCCAGGCAAAGTGGAGAAGAGAGCGTCCTCACCCAAATCCTACCCCGAACCCCAGTACAACAGCAGGTCCTCTGCCTTTTTGTTCCTGGTGAATTGAGCCGGCTCGACCATCAAATGGATTATTTTTAGAACAGTCCGCTTGAAAGCCAGAAAATCTCAAGCACTCATAGGAAAGGGTAGAGGCAAATCCCACTCCATCCTGCTGTTCTTCTTAGTCACACAAGCTGACACAGCTGATTGGTCACCCAAATTACTATACTTAACAAAAGTACTTTAACGACAATACTTATACTTTAACGACATGCAAATCAAACTTTGGCTTTAACCTCCAGGCAGAAGAGCATGTAAATCTGAGGCCTGACTATTTATTTTCCTTACAAGGACCGGTCTCTCGAGTTTCTTGATGAAGTAATAAACATGTTAGTGGTGACTTCTGCTTGGATTTGTCAAAAACAAACCAGCCAATTTACTTAAATAATCCTGTGTCCACAATTTCTGATCAATAAGAAAAAATAAGCTTTTAGATACACTACTGTTAAAAAGGTAGCAGCAAGTTTGTATGTATTTAAAGGTGCTCTAAGTGAGTTTTTTAGGCCAAAACATTGGTCACATCAAACATCTCATCACTATCCGCTAGCTGCCAGTCCCCTGCACTGTTTAAAAAAAAAAAAAAAAGTGGTCTAGACAGCCCAGGTTCCACAAACGGCAACAAAAACAAACGGGGGCGACCCGCTCCACAAAACATAAAAAACTGTTCCAGCCAATAACCGACTAGAAGGATTTGGGGGGTTAGTATGTGTACACATGAAATGGGGATGTGAAGGAGAGAGAAGCATGAAGAGGGAAGTTAGAATTATGACTCTTTAAGTTTGATATGGCCGAGACACTACCAAAGAGACGACGTTTTGATGAACTGATTGCAAAAATGCAAAGAATATATATGACTATATATGTCAGAGGACGCACGCCTCTGGAGCAACTAGGGGTTAAGTGTCTTGCTCAGGGACACATTGGTGTCTCGCAGTGGATTCGAACCCGGGTCTCTCACACCAAAGGCATGTGTCATATCCACTGCGCCATCACCACCCCTCACAATAGGGCGACAGTTTGTGTGAATGATTGTTTTAACTAACTGTTTGTTATGAATTTGAAATATTCATTCATAGCCTATTGACAACTTTGACTTCATTTGTTTACGATGGAGCCGTTGTTTATGCTCACTGGAAAAAGTGAATCTAATGTTATCTTCCTGTTATTGTGTCCTTATGGAAGCTAAAGGTATAACCTCAGGTGGTGAAACGTTTTATCGTGTTTTTCTGGTAATGTTTCTCTTTTCCTGCATTATATGAAAGCATTTATCTAACTTGGCGACATTACACATCACCCAACATCGCTTAGAGCATAATACTGTACTTTCAATTATTACAACAACTTAAAATATTTTTTCCATGTTAATAAACAAATAGTATGATCCAATTAAATGTAATTTATTCCTTTTACTTCAGTGTCACGTGATCCTTGCTCATTTGCTGCTCAAGAAACATTTATTATCATCAATATATATTTTTTTAATTATAATTATATTTTTGTGTAAACAAAGATCATTTTCTTAGGATTCTTTGCAGAGGGGAAAGTTCCAAAAGAAAATCTTTATCACCCCAAACATTTTGAACAGCAGTGTACTTTGCATGTGCAAAGAAAATCAAAACCCCAAAGCTTGGACTTCTAAGTGAAAACTTAACCAAGAATATTTTAATCTTTCAGATCAAGTTGCATGCAATGTTTGGAAATAACAAGACACACCCCTAAAGACACACACACACACAAGGTTCAACTCGTCACTAAATCTACAGGTAGTCAAACGGCTGTCCTAATCAACATCTTCCCCTTCCCCCATTGAAACCTGCCTTGTAAAACAGTGCTTCAAGTCAACTCTTTATTTAACTCACTCAAGCACTGTTTTTGTCATATCGTTACAAAATGTTCATTGTCCAGCTTATATAAGACTGTAGTGGAATGTGTGCCTTGAGTTGAAATACTCTCTCTTTTTCATTCGTACCTACACACCCTACAGATTAAAGTAAGCAGTATTGTGTCTGGTCACAGGAACAAACCCTGGACATTAACCACTAATGTGATCAAGAGTAGGTGCCAGAGCAGATCTACTGGAGGGGCATTGTCATCATCACTGAGAAAAATTTTGATGCAAAAAAACACCTTTTATTATTATTATTTATTATTAGCAAATTTCCCCACCATTTTTTGCCAGGGTCGATATTGTCCCCACCAATTTTGAACATCTTGCTCTTCAAATGGACGTGCGTTTTAATCCGTTGCGGAGAAATCTCTATTCGTTCTGGTGAAATCACAAAGTAAAATGCACACAAACGTGTCCCTGCTTGATATACAACCACTGATGAAGATAAGTGGTTTTAATAAGGAAAAGAAACTATACGAGTGCGGAATTAGAACCCACAATCTCTGACACTATGTGATTAAAGCACATACAACAATGCTGGATTGGATATATCTATTCCTTCATGTGAAAATTCTTGGCACCAACACATTAGATCTCATTAAACGGCAAATTAAACACAATGTACTATTTAAATAGATTGCTGGGCATCGATATTGTATACATCTGATTTATGATTTAGCAACTGTGGTAGGAGGGGCATCAATGACCGGGGGGGGGGGCGGTTGGGTGGTTGGGCACAGCTCTCGAATACCCCACCACAGAGCTGGTCCTGTGTGATCTTATCAGCTGCATACACCCAGGATTGGAATCTTGAATGACCAGCAAACCTCCCCTTTAGAATAATAGATCATACACTGGTTTGAAAGTCCAGTCCAGTGGGTTGTCCTGATGTCACAATAGTTAAATATGTCAGATTATTCAAGACATTAAATTAAGAGAATATTTTGTATGCTTTTATAAAGTGTTAAATATTGTCATTCATAAGAATATCAGGACAGAACAGTGTTACTTGTTAACTTACACACAAGTGTATCAAGCTTTGCATGAAACACTGCATTTAACAAAAGCAAATAAAACATTTACTGCACAAAACACAGAATTGTATTAGCTGCAATGCCATTGAAAAACAACATGCAATGTTATTTGAACAGAAAAAAAAGTGGCGGACTCATTTCTTTACCATTTATTTGGAAGTCTGCAAGTTATTATGTGCTTCTGAAAAGATCCCTGAAAGGAATGATTTTGACATTTGATAAAAGAAGTTCACTTTGATTCATTTTCTTTGCAATCTAACTTTGTTATAGGCTAAATGCAGCATTTAATGGGTGTAGGCCGGATCTAGACTAGATAAATATCATTGCAGGAAAAGCTTTCCATAATCGATAAAAACCCAATATATTTTACAGATTTCATATAAGAATAGGCATTCTTATGGAACATAAGCAATTGTGCAATTCTAGTGGCACCTCAATGACACCAACATTTTAAATTATAGTCTGTTTACTGTTTAAAAAGTGAAAAGTTTCAGAATAGCATTTTGTGCATCTTCCTGTATCTTTTTACATATCAAATTAATATATACTTTATGCACTTATAAAGATAGACAGAACATTATAAAATAAGTTGTAACAAGAGATGGCCAGGGGATGAATTAAGCTTTTACATGAACAAAACTACCTTTACAAAAAAAGAGTAGCTAATAAACAAACAAAGAATGTGCCCCAACAAACAGGATAAAACACCAAATAGCTTAATGAAAAAATATTAGCTCATAAAAATGTAATACTGCTGAAAATGTGCATGACTGAGAACAATTCAGTATAACTGCATGCATTATATCTATTATCCGGTTTTTGGGGTAACATTTTACACAGCTTTTCGTTCAAATTAACTTTTTTTTACAGTGTACAGTTAATCTATATGGCGAAATCTATACACGCGTGTCGAAATTTTCCCTGTATGGGTTCATGTACCTTCAAAGGTCCAATAGTTAACAAATCTACCAATATTACGTAATAACCACGCAGTTACTAAGTCAATAGTAAAGTAATAGTAGTTAAATAACCCAACACCAGGAGAGTAGGGTCCTGCAATGTGGCAGACTTTCTTTTTCATTTCTGTGGTGACATGGGACCCTAGAGGCCACGTGTAACCCCTCCCACGTTCTCCCAATATTGACACGTGAGCATTTAAGAGTTCGCAGTGGGGCAACTCTCTTACTCCAAAGATGAGCAAACATTTATATGAAAATATAGGTCATTTGCTGCTGTTGGAATTAACAAAACCGTACAATAAACTAACTTAGGCCTTAGGGTCTAACGTTAGTGCAAACGAGACCAAAAGCAATGCAGAAGTTCTGCAACCATTTCCTCCCATTTTCCAAGAGCAAAGGCAAGATCGGAGTGGGAGATTTAATACACGCCACTCCGACTGAAAAGTTCTTACTCGCAGCGACGATTAATGAACTATTTGCGATTGCAGTATAATACAACTAACGTTAATGTAGTTTATTTAGCACAACAGTAGTCGACACAATGCACTGTGTATATTCTTATTTTTACCCGTTGTATCTTTTTGTTTTGTCTCTTTTTGTGGCTGACAAATAATCCCTACCCAGTGCATTTAAATATTACATAAACAAAATCAATGTTGCCGCCCGATTAAATATCAGGCCATCGCAGAAAAAGCACATATTTTCGACGGAATAAAATGTAAACATATATACCTTTTTTAACTGTTCCTTTTGTATTTTTCTTAGCCATTGCAAGTGGTAGTTCTTCGATGTTTCTTACTACAAATTGACCGTAATTCCAGTCTCAGTTCTGGTACTTGATGCCCTGCAAAATCAAATCCCTATGCCTTCATAGTAAGTACACGGAGGCCCCAGAGCAACCCGTCCCCCTTTTGAGCGACAAAACGTTCGACCAATGCTGTTCAGACAAAGCCACTGTGGGCGGGGAAAATGAAAATGTCATCCAATCGCCGAACAGTGGTCGATGACTTATTCAATCGTGTGGATACCTGCGGAATAAGACCGCCCAGTTCTTTCCCCTTTTTTGTACCAGCACTGGAACGTGGCAAGATGGAAGGTTGCACTTATCGCGAGATCCAATCCATGTTTACATGCTGCTATGAATGCAAAATAATTCAAAATATTAATACTTAATTCTTATCGATGCGTGTGTAACGGTCGATTGAATTCGTCGTGTAATGTATAACCTAGCACTCGATAGTTGTTATTTGCAAAATTACTTTAGTCTGGACTCTAGAAAGTGAGTTTAGTTCATCCTCTTCTTGTAAACGTAGCCTTTAGAAAGAAGCACACGCTGAACTGAAGGAAACTAAGTTTATTTTCTCAATTATATGGGCATTTTGTATTCAACTAACTGAATAATTAAACCTGATTTGTCTGTATAGTACTATATAGTGTGGGGCAAAATTAACAACGTAAACTTTGTTATTTTTTGCTGGGTACAAATTGTTCTATTGTTGCCCCTGTTGTGCCGAATTTCGACCCCCGCCAAATTATTACCCCCTACTGGGATTAGGCAATCAGGTACTGACTTCAACGAGGGGGGTAATAATTTGGCAGGGGGTCGAAATTAGGCACAACACCCCCACCCCCTTTACTTAGGCTATCTCCTCATCCTAAAATGTAGTAACGTTAGCACTAGTCTGTAACTTTACTCACGTCAAGTTAAAACTTGTTGAAACTATAATTCTGTTATACACTTTTTGCATTCACGTAGGAAAAATCAATTTCTGATTACTTGTGGTTTGGACATTTTTGGTAGAAACAGAAATCTATGTTTAGTGTAATACAAGGAATGAATACCATTTGCTTTTCAAATGCAATGATTGTAAAGATAAAATTCATATATATATATATATATATATATATATGCACTCATATTTGCATTCAATTATTTGTCAAAAGCTTTTGTCAAGAAATGTGCTTGTTTGGCAGATCTGAGTTATTCTAACCTCTCAGACAATTGCTGCCACATGCATGTCAAACATGATAAGAAAGATAAGAAAAGATTAACTCTGACTTAATTAAATTAATAAAGTTTTATCCTTTCAAACAATCATTACCACTTACGTGATGAAACACATGAAGATTAATCTGTCCCACCAAAAAAGACAAGAAAATTCTAATATGGAAATTAGAGGCAGGATTAAATATGGCAAATGTGCAAGACTAATTGTATCTTTAGTAAGAGATGTAGTCAATGCTCCAACATAAAATATAAATATAAAATATAATAAAATAAAACATAAAATATTTCCTACCATTTGTGTGACAAAGTGTGATTTTCACACTTCATTCACAGTGCAAATCTCCAGGATACTATTCATTCTGACATGGTAGTCGTCGTCCCCACATAAAGTTTCACTCAAAATTTACAAGGTGTGACATGTTGTACAACATTACATATTGTGTATTTTTACCACCAGAGGGCATGCGACAATTGTCTAAAAATATAGTTTTGATAGATTCAACAGTATTCTTGAAAATTATTGTTTTAGATATGTACACAGTTGAAAGCCAATTGGAATAACATTGTGTTACACCCCTTACACAAAGACACCATGGTAATAGGGAGGAATTGTTATCTTAGTATCTCCTTCATTCCCCTAGAGACATTCCAATTTTATGTCCCCTAACCATTACTAGACTACAAAACTATGGTTTTAAAATACTTCTTAGTGATATTCTTATTGTAACTGTTAATTATATGTATATTTATTATATTTATATATATTTATTATATATATAATTTATATATATATATATATATATTTTAAATCTTACAATCTAAATTGACAAGAGAGATAATGGGAGATAATAAGAATTTGGCAGGAATGTAGTACACAGCCTGGAGCCTCTTCATTCACCCAATTGGATTTGGCAGCTTAACAGTTGAAAACATCTTCACACAATGGCATTTGCGATTGTCCAGTTCCCACGTTTATTTGAGTAGCACATTGTGTGTCTGTGTATATCTTTTTATCATTATGGTAATGTACATTAAAGTGGGGAAAAAATATTTAAAGTTGTAGTTGGATAACAATAGATGACAACACAATAAAATAATGAGCTACTAATGTAAAACAGTGATTTTCCTTCTGTCATTAGACTGACAGGAAAGGTGCAATAAACAGAACAAGAAATATATACATGGTTTCAGAAACTCACATTTGAGGAAATCTGTAAACATTAAGAGCTCCAGTAAGGTCATTCCTCTCTGGTTATATTTGTTTAAGGTCCAGAGCTAAAGGCAATAGACCAAAGTTCCACTTTACAATCCCACTTAGAGTAAACTAAATAAGTACATGCCCTCAGCTTTTTATTTATTTAAAATATAGCAAAGGTTACTGAATGCTGTGGTTTACCATTACATTACAGATCATTTGACTCCATAAACACAGAGGCTTACGTTTTGTAACATCCTGAGTTTTGTCTATTGTTATGAAAATAATACAATAAAAACAATGACAATTCACAAGTAAAAGAAACAAAGGCACTTTGATATTTCAGTCTCATACAACATTGTACACTAGTTGTGTTATTTTAAAAAGACCACAAAATCCTTCTTCTAAAAGCAACAAACATCTGAAATATAATGCTATATTGTATCTTCAGAGGTATATCAAGTACTTGCAAAGAATATCTGTGTGATATAGAATTCAATAAAATCACATTATCCAAATGTGATAACTAGGAATGTCACTTTTCCTATCCTGGAATGAAAATAAAAGTAAAAAAAAAAAATCATATTTAGTAAATAATTACAATTTAAGTCAGCAATATTATCCTTAATTATTATCCCACAGCAGAACTCAAAGATGAGAAGTACCTTTATTTTAATTAGTCAAAGGCGGATGACTGTGAGAAGCATCTCCTCCACCGCCTGATTCATGCGGCTTGCGCAAGTCTATAGAGAGCCTATAGAGATAATCTTCAGACTGCATGATGAACTCAGTCCACTCTTGGCACACTTCATCTATACCTGGTCCCGTTCCTCCATACACAGGAGGGAGGATATCCTTCGGAAAGTAACTGCAGAGACTTCGGACATATGAACAGCCATGCATATGAATCTGTAAGGAAAAGCATCACCATAGATATTAAGCTGATTAAAATGAATCCTCTTAAAATCCCATATACATGTAGTCTATTTAAACGTTACTAACCCGTTGTTTGATTTTATCTGGAAGAAATGGACGGATCATGGCAAAGACGGGACGGAAAAATATGGGCTCGTTTATCAAGTGGATCCCGCGTACTTTTAAAGGAAAGGAATCCTGCAAGACAGTTTTTTATTTAGTGGATTCAATTTAACTTGCTCAATAATAATGTATTTAGATTTTTTTTTTCCCAAAAAAAATTAACATTCAAAAGCTAGCTATAAGAGGAGAAACTAAAAAAAACTATATATAGATAACCAAGTTTTTCTAGATGTTTGGTTAAACCTAGATATTGCTTCAGATATCCCATTGATAATTTCGTCACTAAAATATATAATCTTTAGTGAAAATGTTTAAATTGATACGTACTGTGAGTACAGCAGATATCTTTTTTGCCAAGGAAGGATTTATCTGTAGAGCATGAGCAAAGCACCAGTCTTGGAGATCAAAAATCACTTTGAGTCCATTTTTTTGAGTCTCCCACTCTCGAACAATCAACTCTGACGTAATGAGGCTCACACGAAAAACCTCGTAAGCTGTAAATTCTTTGGGGTTCCACTGACCTGAAAACAATGTTTGAAAATATATGATATTCCCCATTATATTACCCATTATAATGGCAGAAGGTTTTAATATATATATATATCATATGGTTTGTGAATGTACTTGCCGATACGATAGATCAAAACTCGGCCTCCAGCATCATCTCGTGATCTTAAAACTCCATGGTAATTGTTTTGGAGAAGCCCTATGACGGATAATGGCCGTAGATCGGCAGTTATTTCTGGACATTCTTGTCTCCATTTATGATAGTTGATTAAAAGCTGTTGAAAAACACAAGATTAAATATTAGTCTCAAGTTTTTTTATTTTCAAGAAAATTATCAGGACAAAAAAAGCATTGCTTATTACTTTGATTATGGCTGGCTTGACATCTGAATGCAATGTCAGTCAGAAATAAAAAATGTGTTCATTATTGAACATCCTGTCCCTGCCTAGTCAGTATAGGCGAAATAACCTCAAAGTTACTTTGACTTAAACTAGTGTTTGTGGGCCAGATATTTACAGATGTTTACATTAAACAATTAATAAACAGACAATACCCCACACTTTTTGGGGGGCAACTATGTTTACATTATGGATGCAAAATTATGAGTTAACGAGAATATAATGGAATTAATGGTAATAAAATGGAAATTTGGTTAATAAAATAATCTTGGTTAAAACAGACAGATTTAATGCAAATTTAGTCAAATTTCGACCCTGCTCATTCCTCGTCACAGCAAGGATTTGTGTTCCCTGGTTCACCACTAGAGGTCATCTTCCCCCACAGTGTCAGTCACATTAGACACTGGATTTCCCACAAATGTGCCCGTTCTTGAGCCGGTGCCTGTGCCCGTTCCTGAGCCAGTGCCCGTTCCCGAGCCGGTGCCTGTTCCTGAGCCGGTGCCCGTTCCTGCGCCCAATGGGTCGTCTGCTTCGCCCCTGGCCACCCGACGGGTCTTCTGCTTCTCCCTGGCCACCCGATGGGTCGTCTGCTTCACCCTGGCCACCCGATGGGTCGTCTGCTTCGCCCTGACCCCCCGATGGGTCGTCTGCTTCGCCCTGACCCCCGGTGGGTCGTCTGCTTCGCCCTGGCCACCCGGTGGGTCGTCTGCTTCGCCCTGGCCACCCGATGGGTCGTCTGCTTCACCCTGGCCACCCGATGGGTCGTCTGCTTCACCCTGACCACCCGGTGGGTCGTCTGCTTCGCCCTGGCCACCCGATGGGTCGTCTGCTTCACCCTGGCCACCCGATGGGTCGTCTGCTTCGCCCTGGCCACCCGGTGGGTCGTCTGCTTCGCCCTGGCCACCCGATGGGTCGTCTGCTTCACCCTGGCCACCCGATGGGTCGTCTGCTTCACCCTGACCACCCGGTGGGTCGTCTGCTTCGCCCTGGCCACCCGATGGGTCGTCTGCTTCGCCCTGGCCACCCGATGGGTCGTCTGCTTCGCCCTGGCCACCCGATGGGTCGTCTGCTTCACCCTGGCCACCCGATGGGTCGTCTGCTTCACCCTGGCCACCCGATGGGTCGTCTGCTTCACCCTGGCCACCCGATGGGTCATCTGCTTCGCCCTGGCCACCCGGTGGGTCGTCTGCTTCGCCCTGGCCACCTGATGAGTCGCCTGCTTCGCCCTGGCCACCCGATGGGTCGTCTGCTTCACCCTGGCCACCCGATGGGTCGTCTGCTTCACCCTGGCCACCCGATGGGTCGTCTGCTTCTCCCTGGCCACCCGATGAGTCGCCTGCTTCGCCCTGGCCACCCGATGGGTCATCTGCTTCACCCTGGCCACCCGATGGGTCGTCTACTTCGCCATGGCTGCCCGATGGGTCGTCTGCTTCTCCCTGGCCACCCGATGAGTCATCTGCTTAATTAAGGGTGTGGCCACTTCACTGATGGGTGGATTGCCGGATTTGCCGCAGCTGTAACTACCATAGGCATTAAAAGAAATGGACACGGCGAACCCATAGACTTCAACGGAGAAAGGTGAAGTCAATTAGAAGCACTCACTTCCTGATGGCTGAGCCCCCAGGGAGGCTTCAGTTTCCAGCTGGTGGATTACCCCCTCCGTAACTATAGTCGTTTGTCTGCTGTCTGTTAGCCGTCACGTCACCTCAGCTAATCTCGCTTTTTGCCCATTTTCGTTTACCCGGGAGTGATGCGCTGCCAAGATGGCGACAGCTGGCTCCACCCACTTTGGAATTCAAAAATGCTTTTAAGAAACCTACGAAAGTGAAGTGCCGTCACGAACGTGAGGTTTAAGAAAGTGACGTCACGAACACTACGTCCATATTTTTTTACAGTCTATGGTTTGCAAAATGTTTATATTTATGTTTGCATATGATATAGTTTGCATAAATTACCCCAAAATTTCAACGAATTCCCATAAAGTTTCAAAATTGGAAAATTTCCAAAATTCCTCAGCTTAACCGGAAATTTTACAGCCCTTTGCAACCCTAGTTCAAATAGTTTTTCAATGGCCAATGCAAATAAAATATCTAGATTTAAATTCAAAGAGATAAGATGTCGCATTCGTTCAAATACGAATGCGCCAATGACTTATATGTTTTCAAGCCATCTCTGGGTATTTTTATAACAATAATATGAATGAATAATAATTCAGTGCTATTGATAGATGTTATTACAGTACAGAAGCTATCAAATATATTTTCTGTGATATGAGGTTCCATGATGCACAAGTGGTTGTGGTACATAAGGGGGGAGGGTTAAATAACATTTCAGCAGTGTATTTTAGCCAGTAAAAAACAAGAGAAGAAAAACTAAAGCCTGTTAATTAGATATAGGTATTTGATATCTGCCCCCCACACTTCTGAAGTGATGGCAATATCCCAGCATAGCTATGAGACGTTGTGTAATTTCGTTCAGCCTGTAGCTTAAATGTTATTGCTAACCAAATCACGTCACACCGACTGTGTTAGAAAGCACGCGCGTCAATTTACACATTAATCATTCAATCAAAGTTTAGGTGAAATAGTGTTCCAAACCTTAAACGCCAATGCCACATCAAAGTCTCTCGCCTTCAAAAAACGTATCAGAAATTGTTTCGACAAATCCAAGTGTCGAATGTTTTTTTCTGTTTCTGCTTTTTGCCTCAGCTCTGCCAAATACGGGGCAATCCGAACAGAATCGAAGGGTAAATTATTTAATTCTTCGATGTCGTCAACTTCCTCAGACTTCATATTTGCGCGAGCCGATCGAGTGTCATTTTCTCCGAGCAGCGGTCTCACTTAAAAGGGGGCAGGGAATGAGCCCCTGACATCCCATTCACTGGGCTATAGCCTAATGTTTTTTTCACCTTTGTACATGTCAAGTTTCGTCAAACATTAACCAAGCCAACTTTTCAGACTGAATTAGGCTAGATCTCGTCCAATTAAACAGAAGACCCACGCCTTATTCAAAACTGAGATGAATTGTTGACAACTTGTTGTGTAGGACCTACGTCGCAATTCATCCAGATGTTTAAGAGGAAGTCAACAAGAGTGTGAAACGAGTTTCATATTGCTGTTAATATCCACCACTGTGAAAAAAGTCCACTGAACATAAACTCAAAATTCTCTAAAGAAAACAAAATGTAAAAGATAAATGTTAAAAATGTGTTTTGACCAGTCAAATATTTGAATTAAGGTTATACAGCAATTTAATTCCTGTTACAACTTTCCCTGATTTGACATTTATTAACCCTTTCATGCATAGCCTACATTTCGATCACAGAAAGTTTATTTCCTATATGTGATTTTATTGCTCTAAATCGTATGAAAAACAACATCTGGCTTCTTTTCAAAGAGATTTTCAGATGTCTACTTGATTGCACAGTAGGCTATGTGTTTATTGGTTTTAACGCTGTAAACATAATAGTAGCCTAATAACACAGCTCTATGGGAACCCAATTCAGCTCAAATTGAGTATGCCGATTTACCCTTATTAGCTGATAATTATGATGTTCAAAATGAACAAATTTCTACTGGAGCACCACAGACTGAAATCTTCATTGGTCAATTGGTGTTTTCAGACAGTGGAAAAGAATAAGCAAAGAAAGACTTTGTGCCTGACAAAAAAAGTGAGAGTGAAATACTACTATTTATTACATTTTATAAATGACAAAGGGCAACAGTGTTGTTGCACATGATGCATGAAACGGATCTTTATAAAAGTCCACCCCAGCAAATACTTTTTTGGGGCCCGAATGGGGCCCTTGCGGGCAGCCCGCTGTAGGCCCAGATCCCGGCGTGAAATGCGGGGCCCGTGTGAACTTTTTGTGAAGAAAAAGTGGATACTTTTGTGTGTGTAGCAGAAGAGTAGAAAAACTTTGGGACATTACATCATGCAATTGCATCTTTATAACAGTTGCTCTGTTGCTAACGTGTCCTGTCACACAAACTGACTTGTCAATCATCTTGTCAAAGATAAAATACTCCACATTTCATATTTCATTTCATTACCATCTCGGAGAGAAATGCAGAAGCACATTTATCTATGTCACAGGTCTTTCATGCGGAGACTCTCCTCATATTAATGCATGATGCATTTAAAAGTTTATGGCCAAACGGACCTTTATAAAAGTCCACATTGTTATTGCAAATGATAATACGGATAACATTAAATAAATATTTTTCTATCAGGTTAAACTTTGATTAGTCGCCCAAACATTTATCTAAACCCGACCGTCCATCTTTTGTAGTTTTTTAACAGTTTTTCCTGATGTTTGTAGTTCCCCCTCCAAAGCGCAATATAGCCTTTAGAGTGTGCCAGATCGGTTGCGTTCCAGCCATGGTTCCAGCCCACTTTTAAACACACTCATGCACACATTTGTGAACTTCCCTATAGGCATTTCCCATCGGGGGAATCCCTGTTGTCATTTTGAAGTGCATTCCACTTCGTGAAGTGGACAAGGGAAGTTTATATGGACAGACCATTCCTCCTTCGCTTTTGACCAAGGGAGCGAGTCTACTTCATGTAGCCTACATTAGGCAGCTCCATACCAACGCAACACGATTGTGGTGTCAACACCAACCTAGTGTTGCACATATTGCTTTTAATTTACCCCACCACAAACTATTATATATTGATTAGGCGTATTTTTTTTTATTTTTTTTTAATGAAACAACTCAAACACATCCATTGACCATCCTGGGACTTCTGGCATTGACTCTTTTCAACATATAGCCAACTATGCTTTGGGACACACTTATTTTAACCCTTAAAGAGTTTCTGTATCTTGGGGGATACAGACATTTAACAGGCTGTAGGGGGAGGGGCTATGGGGGGAGGGGCATTATTTGGTTGCAGTTGATGAGAAACACTGATGGGGTGATGGGTCATGTAATAAGGTCATGTGACTTTTTGCTATAACATTCCAAATATTTGTATCAAACTCCAAAATGGCAGCATACGTGGACAAAGGCACTGGCCATGAGCAAAGTGTTTTTATATTTTTCACGATTATGATATTTTAGAGTGATTTTGTTTTAGAAAGTAATTTTTTAAGGGTAGTTTTACATGTTCGTGTTGATATTTTCAAAATAATCTTCTCACAACTTTGATTATCAGGCATTGAATGTTTGTATCCCGGGGGATACATTGCCCATATAAGGGTATTTGCCAGGGCTGATCACTCACAGATATTCTCATGTTTTGAGGCCTGTTCTCTACAGATATTGAATGGGATAAAGGTTTTGGATGTGCCAGGATGGGCAGATATCCATCATGTGTCAGAAGTGCAAAGTGAGGCTTTGCCTGGTCACTGGACAAAATGCTCGCAACTGTTTTGTCAGCTTCCATTGCCCATAGAATATATCTGTTTGTGTTGTGGGGCACCACAGCGAAGATGGTAGAGTTAAAAAAACAAAACAGGAAAAAGGTGTTTTAAAAATCGGCACATGAACTGTTTAAAAAGTTATGAAATATTAAATGTATATCCTACATAGGCAATGCATCTTGGGAGAAAAAGTTCAGTTTTTTTCCAATTTTTCGAATGTTGTATGGATAATATGAAAATTGTAGCTAATTAATTGTTCAATAAATGTTTTAAAAGTTGTCATATGAACTATAAAAAAAAATGCTAAATGTAACCCTAAATGGGCAATGTATCTCGGGAGATACAGAGTGTAACTTAGAAACTATAGGTCATATTTTGAAAAAAATGCATGAACTCTGTCATTTTAGTCTAGATACATAGCCTACAAAAATAGCAGTGAATCATTTTTCCATCAAAATTATTTATGCTTGCCCCTTAAAGGGTTAATCTCACGTAGCCTACTGTTTAGCATGGATAGTATGGACCACAGACTGTAAAAAAGTATGGACATGAGACGAAGGGCATGTCTATGTTTTGGCCTACAAAGTGATGTCATACCTGTACCAATATATAGCGTTGCATGACAGAGACTTCATTAAATTTATTTTTGGTGTTCTGGTTTGCTCAAATAGCAAAGGGAAAACTCAACACGAGTGTTTTCACTACTTTCAAAAACATGAAAAAAATAAAGACATATTGATAATTGCAGTCAGAAGAGAGAAAGATGTTAACTTTATCATCAGCTGCTTTATTAGAACACCCTCACAACAGCGTGCAATGTAATTTGCAAATGTAACATAATAGACCTAAATTATAGTAAGCTATTATAAATTTACTTTTTTAAATGAAAATATTAAAAAAAACTTTAGCTATTTACAATGTTGATGACCGTTACAGCACGTCATCTCAGTCTGTGAAAAGGGTCCAGATTAGGGAATATTCTATGGCTACAAACCCACTCCTCAGAAACCTCATTGTATGATTATTTTTTTTTTTTTTTTTTTTTTTTTTTTTTTTTACAGTCACGCTTTAATGTGTCTGTTTGTCATCTTCCCAAAATGTATATTTCACATTTTATAACATCAATCAATCAGTCGTTTGGCACGTCATTTGTTGGCTAACATAGCCTGATAGCTAACTGTAAACTCAAGGACGCAGGGATTGAACATCTGTCTGCATGGTGACGTCACGCGCCTCCCTTGCAAAGTAGCGCTCGGCGCAGTTTCCATATTTATATGTCGTCGTTGGCTCGTCATTAATTTGAAAGTTCTCTTTAATATTACGCTGCAATATGAACACGTTTTCATGGCTTTGCGGAGGTATGTACATGAACAGTTAAATCCTAAAATTAACGTGGATAACAAATCCGTCTCATCCACCCTTGTGGGTTGATGCAGGGTATTAAGCGGATGCTGCCTCCCTACTACAATGGGATTAAATAACAATAATCTTATGAATGTTCTGCGTATTTTGGTTAGATTTAATTATTATTTTAAAATATTTAGGATCAATATCCTTTTTTCTTCTAATGTAGGCTAATGTTACATATGAGGCATTTTTGGCTTAATTTGCGAGTGTTGTCTAGTATAATGTTCGACGATATTCTGTGTATTTAATTTTTTAATATGCCTGTTTGCCATAGTTTAACTGTTCTGATTTTGATGCTTTAGGTCACAGGGATGGAAAGTTGTATTTGCTGGATGTGCAGGCATTCTGAATGCATTGCCTACGGCTGTGTCAGTGCTTTGTCCATCAGAACACAGGCTTCCAGTAGGCTTTCAGCAGGCACACCGCATAAGGAAATATTCAGCATTACCAAGATGAGATTCACAAATAGGCCTTAAAGTGTGTTTTTGAATAAATACACCTGCTGGTACTAGAATCCGATTTGTCTGGCCTGTGGTGCAAGTCATGATAGGCTCCTAAATCTAAAACAGGCTCAGCTGGTCATCAATTCAAGAATCTCTTTTTGCACTTTTGGCTCTCACTTTACGTGTTCACAGTGGACCTTGATTTAATGCATTTCAATTAAGGCACGCGGTGAATGCCAAGAGTGGAGCCACAAATCCTTCAAAAATCTAAAGCTTTTTTTTTTTTGCTGTGACTTTTTGTTGACTAGTGTTTCTTTCAATATGTTTATGTTGTATTCCTTGTACACTAAGCCTACTTGCAATGTTCATCAGACCGGTAGATTTCTAGAACCTTAACAAAAAGCTCTTCCATCATCTCTGTTTGCATTGGCATACTTTCACATGGTCATAAGTATTCACAATTTTGTGAAATTTCAAACAAAATACAGACTCTGGCTGATATTTTTTTAATGTTGAGCACCATGGTCAACACATCTACAGGTCAATCAAAGGTCATCCTTCGTTTTTATTTTTGTTTATTTAAGGTTTCTGACAGGCTTATGTTTTTCAATTGTATAAATAATTTTTAAGTGTTTATCTACCATGTAAATTCAAAAAGGT